TGGGCTGGTTGGTGTAGTTTTTGTGGGGGTGGGAGTTGTTGTTAACCTTGTGGGTGTGTGGGTGTTGTGGGGGTAGTAAGTGGGTGGGAGTAGGTACGCTTGTTATGGGGGATTGTTCCACCTGCTGTCTTGAATGTGGAACAATCAGGATATTGTTCCACCTGCTGTTCTGAATGTGGAACAATCAGGATATTGTTCCAGCTGCTGTCCTGAGTGTGGAACAATCAGGATATTCTTCCACTGCTGTTCTGAGTGTGGAACAATCAGGATATTCTTCCACCTGCTGTTCTGAATGTGGAACAATCAGGATATTCTTCCACCTGCTGTTCTGAGTGTGGAACAATCAGGATATTCTTCCACCTGCTGTTCTGAATGTGGAAAATCAGATATTCTTCCACCTGCTGTTCTGAGTGTGGAACAATCAGGATATTCTTCCACCTGCTGTTCTGAATGTGGAAACAATCAGGATATTCTTCCACCTGCTGTTCTGAATGTGGAACAATCAGGATATTCTTCCACCTGCTGTTCTGAATGTGGAACAATCAGGATATTCTTCCACTGCTGTTCTGAATGTGGAACAATCAGGATATTCTTCCACCTGCTGTTCTGAGTGTGGAACAATCAGGATATTCTTCCACCTGCTGTTCTGAGTGTGGAACAATCAGGATATTCTTCCACCTGCTGTTCTGATGTGGAACAATCAGGATATTCTTCCACCTGCTGTTCTGAGTGTGGAACAATCAGGATATTCTTCCACCTGCTGTTCTGAATGTGGAACAATCAGGATATTCTTCCACCTGCTGTTCTGAATGTGGAACAATCAGGATATTCTTCCACCTGCTGTTCTGAATGTGGAACAATCAGGATATTCTTCCACCTGCTGTTCTGAGTGTGGAACAATCAGGATATTCTTCCACCTGCTGTTCTGAGTGTGGAATAATCAGGATATTCTTCCACCTGCTGTTCTGAGTGTGGAACAATCAGGATATTCTTCCACCTGCTGTTCTGAATGTGGAACAATCAGGATATTCTTCCACCTGCTGTTCTGAATGTGGAACAATCAGGATATTCTTCCACCTGCTGTTCTGAATGTGGAACAATCAGGATATTCTTCCACCTGCTGTTCTGAGTGTGGAACAATCAGGATATTCTTCCACCTGCTGTTCTGAGTGTGGAACAATCAGGATATCTTCCACCTGCTGTTCTGAATGTGGAACAATCAGGATATTCTTCCACCTGCTGTTCTGAATGTGGAACAATCAGGATATTCTTCCACCTGCTGTTCTGAGTGTGGAACAATCAGGATATTCTTCCACCTGCTGTTCTGAGTGTGGAACAATCAGGATATTCTTCCACCTGCTGTTCTGAATGTGGAACAATCAGGATATTCTTCCACCTGCTGTTCTGAGTGTGGAACAATCAGAATATTCTTCCACCTGCTGTTCTGAATATGGAACAACCAGGATATTCTTCCACCTGCTGTTCTGAATATGGAACAATCAGGATATTCTTCCACCTGCTGTTCTGAGTGTGGAACAATCAGGATATTCTTCCACCTGCTGTTCTGAGTGTGGAACAATCAGGATATTATCCAAATTACTTATTAAACTCCCCAATTACTCCATCTTGCAGCATCCGGTGATCTTATTGATGTGGGCATTGCAGGTGTGGGGATGTGGGGGTGTGGGGTGTGGGGGTGTGGGGGTGTGGAGGTGGGGTGGGGGTGTGGGGGTGTGGGGGTGTGGGGGTATTACCTTCATGAGAACTGTTGATTTTACGGTGTTTTTTATGGCTGGTTTTGCTGTGGTGGTATTGTTTGTGGGTATTGTAGCTTAGGCCAGGATAGTGTTTTTGTGGGAGGTGTGGGGGTGATTATATTGATTTGTGGGAGGTGTGGGGGGGGATTATATTGATTTGTGGGAGGTGTGGGGGTGATTATATTGATTTGTGGGAGGTGTGGGGGTGATTATATTGATTTGTGGGAGGTGTGTGGGTAGTTTATATTGATTTGTGGGAGGTGTGGGGGTGATTATATTGATTTGTGGGAGGTGGGGGTAGTTATATTGATTTGTGGGAGGTGTGGGGGTGATTATATTGATTTGTGGGAGGTGTGGGAGGTTTATATTGATTTGTGGGAGGTAAAGATCGTGTACGTATTGCCTTGTTGGAGGTGTGGGAGTGGCAACATTGCTCTGTGGGAGTTGTGGGCACAGAAATATGGCTTTTTGGGATGTAGGAGAGTTGAAATTGAATTTTGTGGATAGTGTGGGTGTGGTACGTGAGCTAACATTGTTTTTGTGGGTAGTGTGGGTGTGGTAGAGGTCCTGACATTACTGTGGCCGGGGATATTGTAGACATATACACAGTTGCATTTCGTTTGATGAGGTTTAAAGTCTATCTACTACACCAGGGTCATTAAGACTGGTTGGTTGGTTAATGGGGTTTAAAGTCTATCTACTACATCAGGGTTATTAAGACTGGTTGGTTGGTTAATGGGGTTTAAAGTCTATCTACTACACCAGGGTCATTAAGACTGGTTGGTTGGTTAATGGGGTTTAAAGTCTATCTACTACACCAGGGTCATTAAGACTGGTTGGTTGGTTAATGGGGTTTAAAGTCTATCTACTACATCAGGGTTATTAAGACTGGTTGGTTGGTTAATGGGGTTTAAAGTCTATCTACTACACCAGGGTTATTAAGACTGGTTGGTTGGTTAATGGGGTTTAAAGTCTATCTACTACATCAGGGTTATTAAGACTGGTTGGTTGGTTATTGGGGTTTAAAGTCTATCTACTACACCAGGGTCATTAAGACTGGTTGGTTGGTTAATGAGGTTTAAAGTCTATCTACTACACCAGGGTCATTAAGACTGGTTGGTTGGTTAATTGGGTTTAAAGTCTATCTACTATACCAGGGTCATTAAGACTGGTTGGTTGGTTAATGGGGTTTAAAGTCTATCTACTACACCAGGGTCATTAAGACTGGTTGGTTGGTTAATGGGGTTTAAAGTCTATCTACTACACCAGGGTCATTAAGACTGGTTGGTTGGTTAATGGGGTTTAAAGTCTATCTACTACACCAGGGTCATTAAGGCTGCAGGTCACCTGGTCACCACCAGTCAAGAATACTTTAATACCTAAAATACTGATTAATGTAAACTACCAGTGTATATACACTGAGATATACACCTCTCAGTGTATATACACTGAGATATACACCTCTCAGTGTATATACACTGAGATATACACCTCTCAGTGTATATACACTGAGATATACACCTCTCAGTGTCTATACACTGAGATATACACCTCTCAGTGTATATACACTGAGATATACACCTCTCAGTGTATATACACTGAGATATATACCTCTCAGTGTATATACACTGAGATATACACCTCTCAGTGTCTATACACTGAGATATACACCTCTCAGTGTATATACACTGAGATATACACATCTGAAAGACTTCCACCATTTAGATTACATCGCCAAGAAAAATACACATTTCTGAGTATACACAGTACACCAAAACATTTTAGTCGTATATTCACTGATAAATACACACGACTCGGTGTATTTCCTATCGATTATATTTTGTGTTCGGGCAGTGAGGGGTATTTTATACCCAAGATTCACTGTACCGGGCAGTGAAATATTTTAGTCACTGTTCCAAGGCGCTTGCTATTGCTTTTGTGAGTTTGTGTAGAGGGAATTCTAGCTCTTGGTCCCAAGGCTTAACTTCCTATGCCCACGGACAAAGTCCTGAGAGTTCGTGTGCTTTTACGGACCCGAATTAAAATCATCTTCTCCGTGTTATGCCGAGTTCCTGCGACCGCCTTCCGGCTCTTCATCCAGGGTATTCGAGCTGTTCTCCCATTCCTCGGATCAACCTTCATTGCTTCTTATTCCTTAGCCTCTCTGTGGCCCATACGGGCTTAACCCTTCACGTAAATTGAGCCAATTTAGCCACTAATCGGATTTACAGTCTTACGCTAAAGAAATAATTCGTAATGACTCTAGAGGGGTTAATTAGGAGTGTAATTAGTAATGCTGCTTTCTAGTTATTGTTACATTTCTAGAATAATGTGTAGCATTTTCCTCCTAGCTTACATCGTGAAGTATTTTGTATGTTGTGGCTGTATCTCCTCTTGTTCATTAGATTTCTGGTAAAAGGGGTTTAAAACACTCTTTTTTTGTTTGTTTTTAATGGATTTGTGGGTAAAATGTTTGGCAGTACTGCAGCTGGTCCTGGTGTGGGTGGGATGGTATCATTTCTGGCGGTGTGGGCGGTATGAGGGTGGGTGGTAGTGTGGTGGTTTTGGGTGGATGGTTGGTGTGTGGCAGTGTTGTTTGGGTTGATAGTTGCTTGTTAGATGCCCTGGTGTTGTTAGTGTGTGTGGTGTGGGGGTGTTAGAGTTGGTATGGGTGTTGAGGGTGGTGTGGGCGTGATGGTGGGCGGCTGTAGTGTTGCTAGGGAATTTGAGGGGTTAATTTGGAAATACTGAGACGGGTATTGAGTGGGATGTTTGTGTTACTGTTGATGTTGCTGTTAGAGGTGTGGGCGTGGTATGGGCGGAAGTGTTATAAAAGTGGGCGGCGTGGGCGTGATAATAGCAACTAGTACTCCTATTTAGGTCAGTGTTAAGGTGATAAATAATAGCTTGTGCTATGATTAGTGGAGAGAGAGTTAGGGACGCTGGTCCTGGTGATTTGGGTGATATGGGCGTGGTGGTAGGTGTCACACGAGTGTGGGCGGTATGGGTGAGGTAACTTACACCTGTTGTGATGTTATGGTGAGTGTGGGCGTGGCAGGAGTGTCGGTGGTGGTGCTGGTGGCAGGGTAAGGCGTGGCAGGGGATATTGGGGTCGTCTCAATGATATGTCAGGGTCTACTTGGTCTTGTATGAGCCAGAAACTGGCCAGCAGGAGAACTGACCTCAATACCCACCTATAAAGTGCTCCAGCATCGAATCTAGGCATCACAGCATCCTCTGCCACCAGCAGCATCACGACCACCCTCATCTGCCACGACATCATGAAGTACTGTGTAAGTTACCCTACCAAAACACTGTACCCAAAGCCTGGGAGGCTACACAAACACACAGGGACCCAAAATAACGCCTTGAATTACCATCACCAAAACAATCCAGGGAAACCATTTGCAGATTTATCTTAAAAGGCAATTTTTTGAAGTTTTTCGACAGGTAGAGAGTCGTAGTATAGATGGAAATCACGAGGGTTAAAACCTACGGAAGAGAAGGAGATGAGGGGATTCCCCGGGCGGAAGTTAAGCGCGTAGCGGCAGCCTCCGCCGGGATGCGATCATCTCTGAGAGAAATATTTTTCCCTGTACCCCTTAAATTTTGTACTGATTTTTAAGGACACTTCAGTAACTAAACTTAAAATAATTTTTTTTTGTAAATTTAAATATATTTTTTTTAATATGAATAACCCTCTCGCAGGAGAACAGAAATTGTGGCGACGTTCCGGTCAGATTTTGACCAATTAGTGGCCAAAACTAAAGCGAAATATGTCTCTTATGAGCAGATAATTTGTCCTTTGCTGGTCTTAATCCATTAGTTATTTTCCAGGTAAGTTTTCTGTCCTATTCTGTGATTCGTTAGTTAGAAATACTTAATTCTTTGCTTTCTTTATTATCTCTGTTCATTCGTAAGAATATTTGTTTAGTTAAATTTTACTGTATTCCTTCTGGTTTGTTTATATTTTTTCTATGTGTCTCTGGGAAGCGGCTTATCGAATCTTGTGGAATTTGTTTAGATGTGTGTATGGGTAAGTGTAGGTTTGGACTCACTAAGATGTGATATTTCGGTGTATGGTCCCTGTCTCTGGTCACAAACTAGTGTGTGACACTGTCTCTGTACACACCCATCAGGGTTTGGGACTGTACGCACACACCAGCATAGGACACTGTCTCTGTCCACACACCAGTGTATGACACTCTGTCCACACACCACTATATATCACTATTTCTGTCCATACACCAGTGTACGACACTGTCCCTGTACATACACCAGTGTATGGCACTCTCCCTGTTCACACACACCAGCACAGGACACTGCCTCTGTCCACACACCACTATATATGACTCTCTGTCCACACACCAGTGTGTGACACTGTCCCTGTACATACACCAGTGTATGGCAGTGTCCCTGTACACACACACATCAGTGTGTGACACTGTCTCTGTCCACACATACACTGTATTTTTAGAAGGCTTACATCTCCATCCACAAAATTCTGTCGAAGACAGAGAATTAGACACTCGTACAACATCTAGGTATCTATTGTAGACGTACCGTCATCCCCTGGCTTTATCAATACCAGAAACATATACCCTTTTCAGAGGTACACAGAGCCTAGACCTAACCTAACAATAACAATAGCAGTCTAGTGACCTTATGATGGATAATGAATTTGCAGGTGCTTATCCTCCTGGGTTTGGTTGCCTTCGCTGCCGCCCGACCTGACTTCAGCTTGGAAGACATCCACCAGGACCAGGATATCTCTGAGGACAACACCATTACCGGCTCCTACAGGTGAGGTACAGCTCCTGGGAGCACAGTGAGGGCATTTCGACCTATTGGCCATTGATGGAAGTGTTCGCTTGTGTCACATTTCGTGTCAGATGCAGCAAATCATCGAGGATGTGAATGTAATTGAAATCTTTGGATACATTTCATTTCTGACTTTCTCAAATTTCCTGTTACATTTCAGCTGGACTTCCCCTGAAGGCGAGAAGTTTTTCGTGAAGTACATTGCTGATAAGGACGGCTACCGTGTTCTGGAGTCGAACGCTGTCCCCGCTACCGTCGGAGGCGTCAGGGCCGACGGTACACAGGGATCCTTCGTGTCCTCTGAGGAAGACAGAAAGTAAACAATAATATCTTACAGACGTACCAGAGGATCATTCTTACCAAGGATCTGAGATGTTGTTGAAGTGATCAGAGACTAACATGACTTGTGGGACTTGTGTGTGAGTGTTGGTGAGACAGTCACTCTCAGACTGTCAAGGAACCTGCCCATCTCTAAGGCCAGGATGTGGGTACTTCCTACTCCTTACCCTTAGGCAAGTGGGTACTTCCTGCCCTTTACCCTTAGGCAAGTGGGTACCTTCTACCCTTTACCCTTGGGAAAACGGGTAGCTCCTACCCCTTATCTTCATGGAACTGGGTACCTTCTACCCCTTACTTTTAGGGAAGTGGCTAGCTCCTACTCCTTACCCTTAGGGAAATAGCTAATTTCTACTCTTTACCCTAAGACAGGAAAGTAATTCTATCCCTTACCCTTAGGGAAACAGTCATCTCCTGCTCCTCACCTTCCTCTCTCACCTCCCTCACCTCAATTCTCTCAAAATATCCTTTCTCCATCATTCATCATTTATTTATTTATTCAATCTCTAATATTTTATTTATTGACATCTTGTAAACAACAAAACTATTTATAAATAAATTATCTGGAAATTAAATTTTCTTTCCTTAAATATCATTGACTTAAAAACTATCATAATTTTGGTAAATTATTTCTTCGTCACCTCAGAAATAATTTCCAGTGTGGGAAATTATGTAAGGTTGATGGTACGACCCTCCTTCAAGACTTGTGGTTGCTGGTACGACCATTTTTCAAGTGTAGCCAAGACTGGTACATATTACCTGTATCCCTACGAAGTAAACCTGCCAGATGTATCCCTGGTATCCCTCAGCACAAGAACACAAACAGATCTCAAGTTACAAGAGGAACAACGTACATAAAATAGTCAGAGAAAGAACTTGTAGATAGACTGGATAGATACATGAATACATGTAGGTAGGCCCTGTCTGGCATAGGGCAATAGGCCTACAGTGCTACAGTATTCTTAGGCTGTCATGATTTTCTTTTGTAAGTAAACACTACCAAAGCCACAATTACCAACATTAGAGCCATTTTAACTTCACAATCACCAGCCGTCTTAACCAGCATCAACAACTACAATCACCGTTCTTCCACAAACATCTAAGCATCTTCTCTTAGAGTGTGGGTGTGGGAAATCATATATTTGCTTAGATTCTTTGAGAAACAAAGCCAGGGGGTGGAACAAAGGAAGTTGCCGGAGCCACATATTCAGGCAGGAATGCACGACTTCCGGGCCCAGGATTGTGTGGGTATACAACTCAAGTAACAGCAACAGCATCACTAGACAGCCACACCAGACAGCTATAACACCAGACCGTCACACCAGGCTGCCAAAAAACCAGACAACCACACCACCAGACAGCCACACCACCAGACAACCACACCAGACAGCCACACTAGACAGCAACACCACAAGACAGACCCCCTCAGTAACCCTCCGTCTCACGTTCCAAACCTAATTCCTCAAACATATACCTATTATTGCTGTCATCTCCTATACCGGCTTTGATAATAAATGAATTATCTATACCAAATTAACAAGCATAGCTTATAAATACCCCCAGAAACTTGTTTACAAGCAAGAATATTCGTCAATTCAAGGTCAACCAAACAACTTACATCATCCAGCCTCCAGACTGTCACAGATTTCATTTATAAGCACATTTCTTACACAAGTGATGGATATATATTGATTACAGGTATGTTGCAGGTATGTTACGGGTATGTTACAGGTATATAGCAGGTATGTTACAGGTATATAGCAGGTATATTAGGGGGATGTTAGAATTACGACATACATGTCCTGGTTCTTGTTAATAACAGGGCGTGGTATTAATAACACAGGTGGTAACACATGTAATAACACACGTGATAACACATGTGATAGCACATGTGATGACACAGGTGGACACATGACAGGTGTCTCCTGAAAGGTGTATGTATCTTGTTCTTCACGACACATGAGAGGTGTGTCCTGACAGTCTGAATGTCCTCACCTCCCCAGTCTTACTGACACAACCTCCCCAGTCTTACTGACACAACCTCCCCAGTCTTACTGACACAACCTTCCCAGTCTTACTAACACAACCTCCCCAGTCTTACAGACACAACCTTCCCAGTCTTACTAACACAACCTCTCCAGTCTTACAGACACAACCTCCCAGTCCTTACTAAACCAACCTCCTCCCCAGTTTTACAGACACAACCTCCCCAGTCTTACTGACACAACCTCCCCAGTTTTACTGACACAACCTCCCCAGTCTTACAGACACAACCTTCCCAGTCTTACTGACACAACCTCCCCAGTCTTACTGACACAACCTCCCCAGTCTTACTGACACAACCTCCCCAGTCTTACTGACACAACCTTCCCAGTCTTAAACTGACACAACCTTCCCAGTCTTACGACAAAACCCCTCCCCAGTTTTACTGACACAACCTCCACAGTCTTACTGACACAACCCCTAGTCTTACTGACACAACCTCCCCAGTCTTACTGACACAACCTTCCCAGTCTTACTGACACAACCTTCCCAGTCTTACTGACACAACCTCCCCAGTCTTACTGACACAACCTCCCTAGTCTTACTGACACAACCTCCCTAGTCTTACTGACACAACCTCCCTAGTCTTACTGACACAACCTTCCCAGTCTTACTGACACAACCTTCCCAGTCTTACTGACACAACCTCTCCAGTCTTACTAACACAACCTTCCCAGTCTTACTAACACAACCTACCCAGTCTTACAGACACAACCTCCCCAGTCTTACAGACACAACCTCCCCATACTTACAGACACAACCTCTCCAGTCTTACAGACACAACCTCCCCAATCTTACAGACACAACCTCCCCAGTCTTACAGACACAACCTCCCCAGTCTTACTAACACAACCTCCCCAGTCTTACGACACAACCTTCCCATCTTACAAACACAACCTCCCCAGTCTTGCAGACACAACCCCCCCAGTCTTACTGACACAACCTCCCAGTCTTACTGACAAAACCTCCAGTTTTACAGACAAAACCCTTTCCCAGTCTTACTAACACAACCTCCCCAGTTTTACAGACACAACCTCCCCAGTCTTACTAACACAACCTCCCCAGTCTTGCAGACACAACCTCCCCAGTTTTACTGACACAACCTCCCCAGTCTTACTGACACAACCTCCCCGGTCTTACAGACACAACCTCCCCAGTCTTACTGACACAACCTCCCCAGTCTTACAGACACAACCTCCCCATACTTACAGACACAACCTCTCCAGTCTTACAGACACAACCTCCCCAATCTTACAGACACAACCTCCCCAGTCTTACAGACACAACCTCCCCAGTCTTACTAACACAACCTCCCCAGTCTTACAGACACAACCTTCCCAGTCTTACTAACACAACCTCCCCAGTCTTGCAGACACAACCTCCCCAGTCTTACTGACACAACCTCCCCAGTCTTACTGACACAACCTCCTCAGTTTTACAGACACAACCTCCCCAGTCTTACTGACACAACCTCCCCAGTTTTACAGACACAACCTCCCCAGTCTTACTGCCCAAAACCCTCCCCGTTTTACTGACACAACCTCCCCAGTCTTACAGACACACCTTTCCCAGTCTTACAAAACACAACCTCTCGCTTACAGACACAACCTTCCCAGTCTTACTAACACAACCTCCCCAGTCTTACAGACACAACCTCCCCAGTCTTACTGACACAACCTCCCCAGTCTTACTGACACAACCTCCCCGGTCTTACAGACACAACCTCCCCAGTCTTACAGACACAACCTCCCCAGTCTTACTGACACAACCTCCCCAGTCTTACAGACACAACCTCCCCAGTCTTACTGACACAACCTCCCCAGTCTTACTGGCACAACCTCCCCAGTTTTACTGACACAACCTCCGCAGTCTTACTGACACAACCTCCCCGGTCTTACAGACACAACCTCCCCAGTCTTACAGACACAACCTCCCCAGTCTTACTGACACAACCTCCCCAGTCTTACAGACACAACCTCCCCATACTTACAGACACAACCTCTCCAGTCTTACAGACACAACCTCCCCAATCTTACAGACACAACCTCCCCAGTCTTACAGACACAACCTCCCCAGTCTTGCAGACACAACCTCCCCAGTCTTACAGACACACCCTCCCCATTCTTAAAGACACAACCTCCTCAGTCTTACTGACACAACCTCCCCAGTCTTACTGACACAACCTCCTCAGTCTTACTGACACAACCTCCCCAGTCTTACTGACACAACCTCCCCCCAGTCTTACGCACAACCCCCCCGGGCTTACAGACACAACCTCCCCAGTCTTACAGACACAACCTACCCAGTCTTACAGACACAACCTCCCCAGTCTTACTGACACAACCTCCCCAGTCTTACAGACACAACCTCCCCAGTCTTACAGACACAACCTCCCCATACTTACAGACACAACCTCCCCAGTCTTACAGCCACAACCTCCCCAGTCTTACAGACACAACCTCCCCATACTTACAGACACAACCTCCCCAGTCTTGCAGACACAACCTCCCCAGTCTTACAGACACTACCTCCCCATTCTTACAGACACAACCTCCCCTGTCTTACTGACACAACCTCCCCAGTCTTACTGACACAACCTCCCCAGTCTTACAGACACAACCTCCCCAGTCTTACAGACACAACCTCCCCTGTCTTACTAACACAACCTCCCCAGTCTTACTGACACAACCTCCCCAGTCTTCCCAGACATAACCCCCCCAGTCCTTACTGACACAACCTCCCCAGCCCTTACAGACACAACCTCCCCAGTCTTACTGACACAACTCCCAGTCTTACGACACAACATCCCCAGTCTTACTAACACAACCTCCCCAGTCTTACTGACAACCATCCCCCGTCTTACTAACACAAACTCTCCCAGCCCTTACTGACACACCCTCCCAGTCTTACTGACACAATCTTCCCCAGTCTTACTAACACAACCTCCCCAGTCTTGACTGACAAACCTCCCCCTTTTAAACTGACACAACCTCCCAGTCTTACAGACACAACCTCCCCATTTCTTACTGACACAACCTCCCAAGCCCTATTTAACACAACCCCCCAGTCTTACTGACAAAAGCCTTCCCAGGTCTTACTGACACAAACCATCCCAGTCTAACAGACCCCCACTCTCCAGTCTTACAAAACACAACCTCCCCAGTCTTACTGACACAACCTCCACAGTCTTACTAACACAACCTCCCCAGTCTTACTAACACAACCTCCCCCGTCTTACTAAAACAAACCCTGCAGTCTTACTGACACCCTCCCCAGCCTTACTGACACAACTCCCCAGTCTAACTAACACAACCTCCCCAGTCTTACTGACACAACCTCCTCAGTCTTACTGACACAACCTCCCAAGTCTTACTAACACAACCTCCCCAGTTTACTGACACAACCTTCCCAGCCCTTACTTACACAACCTCCCCAGTCTTACTGCACACACCTCCCAGTCTTACTAACACAACCCCACAGTCTTACTGAACAACCTCCACAGTCTTACTAAAAACAACCCCCCCAGTCTTACTAACACAACCTCCCCAGTCTTACAAACCGAAAACCTCCCCAGTTTTACTAACACAACCCCCCCAGCCCTTACTAAACAACCTCACCAGTCTTGCTGACACAACCTCCCCAGTCTTACTGACACAACCTCCCCAGTCTTACTAACACAACCTCCGCAGTCTTACTGACACAACTTCCAGTCTTACTAACACAACCTCCCCAGTCTTACTAACACAACCTCCCCAGTCTTACAGACACTACCTCCACAGTCTTCTGACACAACCTCCACAGTCTTACTGACACAACCTCCACAGTCTTACTAGCACAACCTCCACATTCTTACTGACACAACCTCCCCAGTCATTCTAACACAACCTCCCCAGTATTACTAATACAACCTCTCCAGTCTTACTGCCACAACCTCCTGAGTCTTACTGACACAACCTCCTCAGTATTACTGACACAACCTCCCAAGTCTTACTGACACAACCTCCCCAGTCTTACTGACACAACCTCCCCAGTCTTACTGACACAACCTCTCCAGTCTTACTGACACAACCTCCCCAGTCTTACTGACACAACCTCCCCAGTCTTACTGACACAACCTCCCCAGTCTTACTGACACAACCTCTCCAGTCTTACTGACACAACCTCCCCAGTCTTACTGACACAACCTCCCCAGTCTTACTGACACAACCATCCCAGTCTTACTGACACAACCTCTCCAGTCTTACTGACACAACCTCCCCAGTCTTACTGACACAACCTCCACAGTCTTACTGACACAACCTCCCCAGTCTTACTGACTCAATCTCCCCAGTTTTACTGACACAACCTCCCCAGTCTTACTGACACAACCTCCCCAGTCTTACTGACACAACCTCCCCAGTATTACTGACACAATTTCCACAGCCTTACTAACACAACCTCCCCAGTCTTACTGACACAACCTCCCCAGTCTTACTGACACAACCTCCCCAGTCTTACTGACACAACCTCCCCAGTCTTACTAACACAACCTCCCCAGTCTTACTGACACAACCTCCCCAGTCTTACTGACACAACCTCCCCAGTCTTACTGACACAACTTCCACAGTCTTACTAACAGAACCTCCCCAGTCTTACTGACACAACCTCCACAGTCTTACTGACACAACCTCCCCAGTCTTACTGACACAACTTCCACAGTCTTACTAACAGAACCTCCCCAGTCTTACTGACACAACCTCCCCAGTCTTACTGACACAACCTCCCCAGTCTTACTGACACAACTTCCACAGTCTTACTAACAGAACCTCCCCAGTCTTACTGACACAACCTCCCTAGTCTTACCCACCCCTTCAAAAATTAAATATTCCCTATTCTGAATGTTTCTCAGCCACTAAGAATGAGATAAAAAAAACTCTCACTGGTCAAATCTCTGATCTCAAAATTAAATTAATTTCGATGTTTTGGTTACGCAATTTTCAACGTCTTTGGCTCAATAATTTACTGTCGTTTTAGTATGGAAAATAATAATAAAATTTTGGTAATATTCCTTTCATAATATGGGTAATATTTCTGTCAGTTTGATATCAGGACAATATCAGTCCTGATACGTTATTGACCTAATGGTCAAAACTATACCAGCCTCTTGCCCATGGTGTGAACTGGAAGAAAAATCCAGCCTTCAGGACGATACTATTCCTGGCCAGACATCATCCTATGATGCGAGATGAATCTGAAAGTAAAGATCCTGGGTGTGGTTCCCCAGTGACGGCACTGAGGACTCACGCTGATAGTAAATATAACTGGGGGTGACCAGTGTTGGTAGTGTACTATCTTTACGTATGTCAGTCGTAATGATAGTGTACTCATCTAAATGTGGTTGCAGGTAGTATTATGACCAGTGTATGTTACGTGTTTATGTTCTTTTAGTAATACAACTGTATAAATAAATAGCCCCACGAAAGACAAAACATTGACTGAAAGGAACATGTCAGTTGAGGTCTTGTGACTGATAGATTGTTTCGTGTCTTCAAGAATATTAATGGATTCAACTAATTTGGATCAAAATTTTCTCCCTGATGTCCACATACATGGGCAGGTTGATGTGTGTATTTAGGGTAATAATGAATTATAGGAGGATCAGGGTCAGCTGTGAGGCTTTGTTGATGGCATATTTAATTTCTTGAAGAATGTTGATGTATTGAGCAAACCTCTCTAAGAAATGAGTTTTTGTTTTCAGACGTCACATACATGGGCAGGTTGGTGTCTGTATTTAGGATAACATGATCATGTCAAGGACTGCATTATACATCACAGGAGACAAACTGGCAAGCAGAAGCAGCAGCAGCAACAACAGCAAGATTGACCTGATTCTGCACCTATAAAGATCTCTTTTCTTCAGGGCTTTGTACCACACCTTCGTCTGCCACCATCAGCACCACTACTAGGCTCCTGTGCCACCATCAGCACCACTACCAGCATCCTCCACCACTACATCATGAAGTGTTGTGTGAGTTACAGTGCCACACACTGTATCTGGAGGCTGGACACACACAGAGAAACAGGCAGCATCAATTCTCTTGATTTACCGTCACGAGATGCAGCCTAAAAATATAATAGATTAGTATCAATAAGGAAGATTTACAAAGCTTCAGAAATGTTTATAATCCAATTATAGCTGTGAATATTTCGGCCAAACTTTAGTAGAGTTGGAAGAGTTGAGGGAGATCCCAGAATGGTGAAGGTAGAAGCTGGAGGTCTGAGGTTATGTTGGACTGACACACTTTAATGTTTCAACAATTGTCTTCTACAGTAAACTAATTTATTTCGTAAACAATAAACAAAACATTAATATTGATAGTGTAAAGTGGACGGAACTTCACGTGTCCTGTATAGTCCTTCTTGTTATGTAGAGAGTAAGTCACCACAAGTCTCTCAGTAGCCCTGCTAGTGTTCCTTGTCAGGTAACAGTGTAAGTAGCTACCTGTTTATCACTAGTAATACTTGCTAGTGTTTCTTCTGACGTCGAAGAACCTCAATCTGTGTTGTCTGTGTCCATCAGATGATCGTCCTCCTGGGTCTGGCTGCCATCACTGCCGCCCGACCTGATTTCAGTCTAGACTTCTCCAGGGAGGACAGTCACCAGGTGCAGGAAATCAGCAGGGACAACGTCATCACTGGCTCCTACAGGTGAGATACAGCTCCTGGGCTCACACTAAGTGCACTTCCACTTACGAACTGTTACAAGTGAATTATTACTCTGTATTTGTCTTGTCCAAAGCATCAAAGAATTTAATATCCGAAATTGGTTTCATTTACTTACAGTTTTCATTTGTGTTTTTCATTTTCTGTTTTATCAAAATCTTACAGTTCATTATATCATATTTCAGCTGGACTTCTCCTGAAGGAGTGAAGTTTTTCGTGAAGTACATTGCTGATAAGGACGGCTACCGTATTTTGGAGTCGAACGCTGTCCCCGCTACCGTCGGAGGCGTCAGGGCCGACGGTACACAGGGATCCTTCGTGTCCTCTGAGGAAGACAGAAAGTAAACAATAAATCTTACAGACGTACCAGAGGATCATTCTTACCAAGGATCTGAGATGTTGTTGAAGTGATCAGAGACTAACATGACTTGTGGGACTTGTGTGTGAGTGTTGGTGAGACAGTCACTCTCAGACTGTCAAGGAACCTGCCCATCTCAAACACCAGGATGTGCGTACCTCATACCCCTTACCCTTATGCAAGTGGGTACCTCCTACCCGTTGCCCATAGGGAAGTGGGTACCTCTTACTCTTTACCCTTAGGGAAGTGGGAATTCCTTACGTTATGAGAAGTGGTTAGATTCCAGCTCTTACTCTCAGGAAAATGGGTAGTCCTTTCTCTTTTCCCTTGGGAAAGTGAGTACCTCCTACCACTTACCTTATGAAAGTTGGCAGAACCTACTCCTTCCCCTTAGGCAAATGGGAAAGTCCTACCCCTTGCCCTTGGAAAAATGGATAGTTCTACCCCTTTACCTTAAAGAAAGTGTGTACCTAGTACACGTTGCCATTGTTGTAATGGGTAGTTGCTACCCATCAGTCTGAGGGAAGAGGTCAGTCTTGCCTCTCCTGTTCACCATTATTCCCTCACTTCCCTCACCATTATTCCCTCACTTCCCTCACCTTCTCTTCCTCCCAATTATTCTCTTATTTCTTCACCTGTCTTTCTGTTTATTATTTATTTATTTATTGAGCCAATCTGTTTGGTTTTATTTATTTCTAAAAATATAAATTGCTACAATAATAAAATAAATTATATGGAAATATATTTTGTGTATTTAAAAACATTTGGAAAAATTATTATAGATTTTTTGTCGCTCAACCAGAAAATAATTTTAAATTTTCTGGGAGTTTTTTTTCTGCTGGTAAATATTGTTGTGTGATCCATTAAGTTGTGAGGAAGGCAGTAGTATCATGGTTCCCAGGAAAGTCTTGTGTGATCCACTAAACTGTCAGGAAGGCAGTAGTATCATGGCCCTTAGGGAAGTCTTGTGTGATCCACTAAACTGTCAGGAAGGCAGTAGTATCATGGCCCTTAGGGAAGTCTTGTGTGATCCACTAAACTGTCAGGAAGGCAGTAGTATCATGGTTCCCAGGAAAGTCTTGGGTGATCCACTAAACTGTCAGGAAGGCAGTAGTATCATGGCCCTTAGGGAAGTCTTGGATAAACCAAAGAGGCATAAGAATCCCTTAACTTATCACTATAACTGTCAGATGCAGTTATATCATTGCCTTGATCTGGAACCACGGCACCTGTAGACAATATACAGTGATTAAATCTTGCTTGAATATCCTGTGACAAGCAGAGAAACGTGTTTAACGGAAAGGGTCATCCAGTCAACACAAGGTCAAGCCGGCAGGTTCACTTGTCAACACAAGGTCAAGCTGACAGCTTCACTTGTCAACACAAGGTCAAGCTGACAGCTTCACTTGTCAACACAAGGTCAAGCTGGCAGCTTCACTTGTCAACACAAGGTCAAGCTGGCAGCTTCACTTGTCAACACAAGGTCAAGCTGACAGCTTCACTTGTCAACACAAGGTCAAGCTGGCAGCTTCACTTGTCAACACAAGGTCAAGCTGGCAGCTTCACTTGTCAACACAAGGTCAAGCTGGCAGCTTCACTTGTCAACACAAGGTCAAGCTGGCAGCTTCACTTGTCATCACAAGGTCAAGCTGACAGCTGGCAGCTTCCTCTAGCATCTACTCAGTGTATGGACAGTAACAAGGCGGGAGCGTGAAGACACAGATTGTTAGTGGGTGGCTGACTGTGCCTGGTCACCGACGGAGCCGCGGGGGCGTTGACCCCCTGAAACTCTCCAGGCTGACTCCAGGTATGCTCCAGGTATGCTCCAGGTATACTCCAGGTATACTCCAGGTATGCTCCAGGTATACTCCAGGTATACTCCAGGTATGCTCGAGGTATGCTCGAGGTATGCTCCAGGTATGCTCCAGGTATGTTCCAGGTATGCTCCAGGTATACTCCAGGTATACTCCAGGTATGCTCGAGGTATGCTCGAGGTATGCTCCAGGTATGCTCCAGGTATGCTCCAGGTATGCTCCAGGTATGCTCCAGGTATGCTCCAGGTATGCTCCAGGTATGCTCCAGGTATGCTCCAGGTATGCTTCAGGTATGCTCCAGGTATACTCCAGGTATGCTTCAGGTATACTCCACGTATGCTCCAGGTATGCTCCAGGTATGCTCTAGGTATGCTCCAGGTATGCTCCAGGTATGCTCCAGGTATGCTCTAGGTATGCTCCAGGTATACTCCAGGTATGCTCCAGGTATGCTACAGGTATGCTACAGGTATGCTACAGGTATGCTCCAGGTATGCTCCAGGTATGCTACAGGTATGCTTCCAGGTATACTCCAGGTATGCTCCAGGTATGCTCCAGGTATGCTACAGGTATGCTACAGGTATGCTCCAGGTATGCTACAGGTATGCTCCAGGTATGCTCCAGGTATGCTCCAGGTATGCTCCAGGTATGCTCCAGGTATGCTCCAGGTATACTCCAGGTATGCTCCAGGTATGCTACAGGTATGCTCCAGGTATGCTCCAGGTATGCTCCAGGTATGCTCTAGGTATGCTCCAGGTATACTCCAGGTATGCTCCAGTATGCTACAGTATGCTACAGGTATGCTACAGGTATGCTCCAGGTATGCTCCAGGTATGCTCCAAGTATACTCCAGGTATGCTCCAGGTATGCTACAGGTATGCTCCAGATATGCTCCAGGTATGCTCCAGGTATGCTCCAGGTATGCTCCAGTTATGCTACAGGTATGCTCCAGGTATGCTACAGGTATGCTCCAGGTATACTCCAGGTATGCTACAGGTATGCTACAGGTATGCTCCATGTATACTCCAGGTATGCTACAGGTATGCTATGCTACAGGTATGCTCCAGGTATGCTACAGGTATGCTCCAGGTATGCTCCAGGTATGCTATGCTACAGGTATGCTCCAGGTATGCTCAAGGTATGCTCCAGGTATGCTCCAGGTATCTGTGTTATCTAATGAATGTGACTGATGAGTCTGACTATTCTTGTTGTAGATTATGTTCTTAAGTGTTCATCAGAATGAACAGTGAACTGTGTGGTTGTTATAACAGTGAACCTCTGTGGGTTGTTATAACAGTGAACTGAGAGTAACATCTGCAGAACAGTCATGTTGCTGAGTCCTGCGAACATCATTGCACGCTCAACACCTGAGCAGATTTTCAGATATTTGAATTATAGGAGAACATTTGCAACTAATATTAATATCTTTGAGAATTTTTTCCAGTGATTGAAAAAAAAATAATGTCCGTCTTGAAAAATCTATTTACCATTAATAACAATATGTTCCAGGTGATTTAAAACCAGCAACACAAAGCCAACTTATAAATTGTGACTGGAAATGCAACACAAACTTAGGCAAATTGACATTGAACAGAGACGAATGGAATCTCAGACTCTGTCCATATCTATTATTTAACTTTTAAAGTAATATCAAGAAGGAAATATTTGGAATGTGAGTATATAACATCACATCAGCATCCAGAAACACAGAGTGGAACATAAGTAGAGACAGTCAAGTATAGATTCCAGACTCTGAAGGCCAGAAACACAGAGTGGAACATAAGTAGAGAGAGTCAAGTATAGATTCCAGACGCTGGAAGGCCAGAAACACAGAGTGGAACATAAGTAGAGACAGTCAAGTATAGATTCCAGACTCTGGAAGGCCAGAAACACAGAGTGGAACATAAGAAGAGAGAGTCAAGTATAGATTCCAGACTCTGGAAGGCCAGAAACACAGAGTGGAACATAAGAAGAGAGTCAAGTATAGATTCCAGACTCTGGAAGGCCAGAAACACAGAGTGGAACATAAGAAGAGAGTCAAGTATAGATTCCAGACTCTGGAAGGCCAGAAACACAGAGTGGAACATAAGTAGAGAGAGTCAAGTATAGATTCCAGACTCTGGAAGGCCAGAAACACAGAGTGGAACATAAGTAGAGAGAGTCAAGTATAGATTCCAGACTCTGGAAGGCCAGAAACACAGAGTGGAACGTAAGTAGAGAGAGTCAAGTATAGATTCCAGACTCTGGAAGGCCAGAAACACAGAGTGCAACATAAGTAGAGACAGTCAAGTATAGATTCCAGACTCTGGAAGGCCAGAAACACAGAGTGGAACATAAGTAGAGAGAGTCAAGTATAGATTCCAGACTCTGGAAGGCCAGAAAAACAGAGTGGAACATAACTAGAGACAGTAAAGTATAGATTCCAGACTCTGGAAGGCCAGAAACACAGAGTGGAACATAACTAGAGAAGTCAAGTATAGATTCCAGACTCTGGAAAGGCCAGAAACACAGAGTGGAACTAATAGAGAAGTCAAGTATAGATTCCAGACTCTGGAAGGCCAGAAACACAGAGTGGAACATAAGTAGAGACAGTCAAGTATAGATTCCAGACTCTGGAAGGCCAGAAACACAGAGTGGAACATAACTAAAGAAGTCAAGTATAGATTCCAGACTCTGGAAGGCCAGAGACACGGTGAAAACTAGAGAAGTCAAGTATAGATTCCAGACTCTGGAAGGCCAGAAACACAGAGTGGAACAGTAATAAGAGAGTCAAGTAAATTCCAGACTCTGGAAGGCCAGAAACACAGAGTGGAACATAATAGAGACAGTCAAGTATAAATTCCAGACTCTGCAAGGCCAGAAAACAGAGTGGAACTAAGTAGAGAGAGTCAAGTATAGATTCCAGACTCTGGAAGGCCAGAAACACAGATGGAACATAAGTGAGAGAGTCAAGTAAGAGTTCCAGACTCTGGAAGGCCAGCAGTAACACGAGTGGAACAAGGAGACAGTCATGTATAGATTCCAGACCGTGAAGGCCGTAAACCAGGTGACGTAAGTAGAAAAAGTCAAGTATAGATTCCAGACTCTGAAGGCCGGAAACACAGAGTGTGAACATAAGTAGAGAGAGTCAAATAGATTCCAACTCTGGAAGGCCAGAAAAACAGAGTGGAACATAACTAAGACAGTAAAGTATAGATTCCAGACCTGAAAGGCCAGAAACACAGAGTGGAACAAACAGAGACAGTCAGTATAGATTCCAGACTCTGGAAGGCCAGAAACACAGAGTGGAACATAACTAGAGACAGTCAAGTATATATTCCAGACTCTGGAAGGCAAGAAACACAGAGTGGAACATAACTAGAGACAGTCAAGT